GGATGGGTATGTATCCAGTACCCCAAGTTTGTGAGATATGAGAACGGGTGGGCGGGGATGGGTAGGTATCCAGTACCCAAAGTTTGTGAGATATGAGATCGGGTGGGCGGGGATGGGTAGGTATCCAGTACCCCAAGTTTGTGAGATATGGGATCGGATGGGCGGGGATGGGTAGGTATCCAGTACCCCGAGTTTGTGAGATATGAGATCGGGTTGGCGGGGATGGGTAGGTATCCAGTACCCCAAGTTTGTGAAATATGGGATCGGTATGGCGGGGATGGGTAGGTATCCTGTACCCCAAGTTTGTGAAATATGAGATCGGGTGGGCGGGGATGGGTAGGTATCCAGTACCCCAAGTTTGTGAGATATGGGATCGGGTGGGCAGGGATGGGTAGGCATCCAGTACCCAAAGTTTGTGAGATATGAGATCGGGTGGGCGGGGATGGATAGGTATCCAGTACGCCAAGTTTGTGAAATATGAGATCGGGTGGGCAGGGATGGGTAGGTATCCTGTACCCCAAGTTTGTGAAATATGAGATCGGGTGGGCGGGAATGGGTAGGTATCCAGTACCCCAAGTTTGTGAAATATAGGATCGGGTGGGCGGGGATGGGTATGTATCCAGTACCCCAAGTTTGTGAGATATGAGAACGGGTGGGCGGGGATGGGTAGGTATCCTGTACCCCAAGTTTGTGAAATATGAGATCGGGTGGGCGGGGATGGGTAGGTATCCAGTACCACAAGTTTGTGAAATATGGGATCGGGTGGGCGGGGATGGGTAGGTATCCAGTACCCCAAGTTTGTGAGATATGGGATCGGGTGGGCGGGGATGGGTAGGTATCCTGTACCCCAAGTTTGTGAGATATGGGATCGGGTGGGCGGGGATTGGGAGGCATCCAGTACCCAAAGTTTGTGAAATATGAGATCGGGTGGGCGGGGATGGGTAGGTATCCAGTACCTAAAGTGTGTGAGATATGAGATCGGGTGGGCGGGGATGGGTAGGTATCCAGTACCCAAAGTTTGTGAAATATGGGATCGGGTGGACGGGGGTGGGTAGGTATCCAGTACCCCAAGTTTGTGAGATATGGGATCGGGTGGGCGGGGATGGGTAGGTATCCTGTACCCCAAGTTTGTGAGATATGGGATCGGGTGGGCGGGGATTGGGAGGCATCCAGTACCCAAAGTTTGTGAAATATGAGATCGGGTGGGCGGGGATGGGTAGGTATCCAGTACCCCAAGTTTGTGAAATATAGGATCGGGTGGGCGGGGATGGGTAGGCATTAAGTACCCCAAGTTTGTGAAATATGAGATCGGGTGGGCGAGGATGGGTAGGTATCCTGTACCCCAAGTTTGTGAAATATGGGATCGGGTGGGCGGGGATGGGTAGGTATCCAGTACCCCAAGTTTGTGAAATATGGGATCGGGTGGGCGGGGATGGGTAGGTATCATGTACCCCAATTTGTGAAATATGAGATCGGGTGGGCGGGGATGGGTAGGTGTCCAGTACCCCAGGTTTGTTAAATATGGGATCGTGTGGGCTGGGATGGGTAGGCATCCAGTACCCTAAGTTTGTGAAATATGGGATCGGGTGGGCGGGGATGGGTAGGTATCCAGTACCCAAAGTTTGTGAGATATAAGATCGGTTGGGCGGGAATGGGTAGGTATCCAGTACCCCAAGATTGTGAGATATGGGATCGGGTGGGCGGGATGGGTAGGTATCCAGTACCCCAAGTTTGTGAAATATGGGATCGGGTGGGCGGGGATAGGTAGGTATCCTGTACCCAACTTTGTGAAATATGAGATCGGGTGGGCGGGGATTGGTAGGTGTCCAGTACCCCAGGTTTGTGAAATATGGGATCGTATGGGCTGGGATGGGTAGGTATCCAGTACCCCAAGTTTTCGAAATATGAGATCGGGTGGGCGGGGATGGGTAGGTATCCAGTACCCCGAGTTTGTGAGAAATGAGATCGGGTGGGCGGGGATGGGTAGGTATCCAGTACCCCAAGTTTGTGAGATATGAGATCGGGTGGGCGGGGATGGGTAGGTATCCAGTACCCAAAGTTTGTGAGATATGAGATCGGGTGGGCGGGGATGGGAGGTATCCAGTACCCAAAGTTTGTGAGATATGAGATCGGGTGGGCGGGGATGGGTAGGTATCCAGTACCCCAAGTTTGTGAGATATGGGATCGGATGGGCGGGGATGGGTAGGTATCCAGTACCCCGAGTTTGTGAGATATGAGATCGGGTTGGCGGGGATGGGTAGGTATCCAGTACCCCAAGTTTGTGAAATATGGGATCGGTATGGCGGGGATGGGTAGGTATCCTGTACCCCAAGTTTGTGAAATATGAGATCGGGTGGGCGGGGATGGGTAGGTATCCAGTACCCCAAGTTTGTGAGATATGGGATCGGGTGGGCAGGGATGAGTAGGCATCCAGTACCCCAAGTTTGTGAGATATGAGATCGGGTGGGCGGGGATGGATAGGTATCCAGTACCCCAAGTTTGTGAAATATGAGATCGGGTGGGCAGGGATGGGTAGGTATCCTGTACCCCAAGTTTGTGAAATATGAGATCGGGTGGGCGGGAATGGGTAGGTATCCAGTACCCCAAGTTTGTGAAATATGGGATCGGGTGGGCGGGGATGGGTATGTATCCAGTACCCCAAGTTTGTGAGATATGAGAACGGGTGGGCGGGGATGGGTAGGTATCCTGTACCCCAAGTTTGTGAAATATGAGGTCGGGTGGGCGGGGATGGGTAGGTATCCAGTACCCCAAGTTTGTGAAATATGGGATCGGGTGGGCGGGGATGGGTAGGTATCCAGTACCCCAAGTTTGTGAGATATGAGAACGGGTGGGCTGGGATGGGTAGGTATCCAGTACCTAAAGTGTGTGAGATATGAGATCGGGTGGGCGGGGATGGGTAGGTATCCAGTACCCCAAGTTTGTGAAATATGGGATCGGGTGGACGGGGTAGGGTAGGTATCCAGTACCCCAAGTTTGTGAAATATGAGATCGGGTGGGCGGGGATGGGTAGGTATCCAGTGACCCAAGTTTGTGAAATATGGGATCGGGTGGACGGGGGTGGGTAGGTATCCAGTACCCCAAGTTTGTGAGATATGGGATCGGGTGGGCGGGGATGGGTAGGTATCCTGTACCCCAAGTTTGTGAGATATGGGATCGGGTGGGCGGGGATTGGGAGGCATCCAGTACCCAAAGTTTGTGAAATATGAGATCGGGTGGGCGGGGATGGGTAGGTATCCAGTACCCCAAGTTTGTGAAATATAGGATCGGGTGGGCGGGGATGGGTAGGCATTAAGTACCCCAAGTTTGTGAAATATGGGATCGGGTGGGCGGGGGTGGGTAGGTATCCAGTACCCCGAATTTGTGAGATATGGGATCGGGTGGGCGGGGATGGGTAGGAATCCTGTACCAAAGTTTGTGAGATATGAGATCGGGTGGGCGGGGATGGGTAGGTATCCAGTACCCCAAGTTTGTGAAATATGAGATCGGGTGGGCGGGGATGGGTAGGTATCCTGTACCCCAAGTTTGTGAAATATGAAAATGGGTTGGAAGGGGGATGGGTAGGCATCCTCTTTTGGAGGTGGAAAGGTAGCCAGGTACCCAGTAAGTCGATACATTTGGTTCAGTCATATAGGGACCCATGAAGATCCGGCGTAGAATAGGTCTTCAGCAACCCAGACTTGATTATTTACAAACCGCCGTCGTATAGCTGGAATATTACTGAGTGTGGCGTTAAGCAACAAACAAACAGCCAAAAAACAAAAAGTCATCTAGGGGTCGTCTTTGAACGTTCTTTGATCCAAGCTTTTTATGTGTCTGAACTTATGGATAGGTCAGAGAGATTTCCGCAGTTCCATCCTACTGGGTAAAATGGGGAAACCTGAAAACTCGTGGTTAGTGTATTCAATAGTTTTATCATATTTTTTTATCCTTTACAATTACGCAGGTTGTGTCCATTGCGTATACATACTGCAGTAGAGGAGATAACAAGTGATAACAAGTGATAACAAGTGACGATGTTGAAGGAACGAGTTTAATATTCGAGAGCTTCAGAGGTGAGATGAGGTGAGGTGAGGTGAAATGGGGTTTAACTTCGCGTCCAAGATTATTGCACTTACATAGCGACGTTCATGCACGTGTGTGTGTGTGTGGCTGCTTGTACTAGTCCGGACTGATGCCGATTTATAGTGCTAGCCCACTGAGATACCATGCCGCAGTTTAACACGAATACCCCACTCAGATACAGTATACTGACTCCGAGCCGGCCAGTCCTTGTTTTAGCCCCTTAATGCCGAGTGCCAGACAGAGTAACAAGTACCATCTTTTAACGTCTTTTGATATGACGCGAACGGGAGATCGAAGCACCGAACTTTGGCTCTTTCGACAGACGCCCAATCCACTAGACCACGTGGGCAGTGGCAACACTAGGAGGCCCGGATACAGCACAATATAGTGTTGGTGGTCAGAGGTGGCGACAGTGTATCGGGTAGTCAGTTACTGCCACTTGGTTGCCAGGCATTAGAACATAGGGACAGAAATATATTGGTCAGAAATGGAAGGTGGTTGTATGTTTCGGTGGCCAATAACCAGAACCCACTTTCAATCTGAAGAAAGAGGAATGTTCCCGCAAGAAGTGAACTGACTTCGTTAATTACGCCTTCGTGGAACAATAGCCGTGTGTGTGCGAGTGCGTAGCGTGCGTGTTTTTTTATTCTTCTCGCCCAGACTAATGACGGTTAAAAAGTGCTAACCAACTCAGATACCATGGCGCAGTTTAATATGGATACCACTCTGACACATAAGCCGACTCCGAGCCGACCAGTTTATCCCTATAATACCGAGCACAAGGCAGGGAAACAACAAGTACCAACTTTTAACGTCCTTTGGTAGGACGCGGCCGTGGATCGAACCCCGACCTTGGACAGACGCTATCCACTACACCACGGAGGCGGTCGACAGACAAGTAGAAAGAACGAAACGTATAACATATATACATTTATTAGACAACATTAATGTTTTCGAACAAAACGTTGTACAATACACAGTTTAAAAGACACGTACTACCGACTTGTCTCCCGTGTCACTGCTTGACCAAGCCACTACCTGCATGTTTTAGATCAAATCTCTAGTCAGTCTAAAACAATGCAAGTATTTATTGAACTATATACAAAAAAATATATTATTGTCTCAAAATCTGATTATCTGCAAATGTTAGTAATCTTACTGCAGATTCTTTTGAGTTAATACAAAAATATGTTTTATAAATCCAAAGCATTGTACGTTTCAAAGCTGCCTTTCGACAAGCCAGGAATGTTCTGAAAAGAGTCTTTCAAATTTTGATACTTTTTAAAAAAAAATTAAAGATGCGAATGCACCTAGTTCTACAAAAATATCACAGTCGCCACATAAGATAAGGTCATTGGTTGAGGGAACGATGTAGATTCCATCTGCCCGAACGGCTTTGGGGTTGTGAATCAGACTGACATGTCCACATGAGAACTGCAGTGATGTGGGATTGTTAATGAAGAAATAATGTCTACCAGTGCGCCGTCACGAGTTGAGATTTCCGCCCAAAATATCCTCTCATCTCATTCATTGAGTATTGTTGTTCTCACTATAACCTCAGTGACGGAGTAGGGATCACAGTTGGAGGATGGGCGTCTGTCTTCCAGGTAGCCCTCTCCATCCTCCGCCACCTGGCGGGGAATACGGATACTAGCTCCGCGGTTGGCGACACCGGCCGAGAAGTCGTGGATGGATGAAGTCTCGTGGTGTCCCGTGAGACGTCTCTCGTTGTCCTTGCCTTCACGAGGGTCGTAGGCTTTGATATGCCGTACATGATGCTTGGAGAGCTTCTCAATGGCTTCTTCAATAACCCTGTGAAGAGACGACACCAGTTACTAACGAGGTACTAAAACATTGCAATTACGTGCGACAATCGTTCGTGCCTGAGTGAGTATGGTTTTACGCCGCTTTTGGCAATATTCCAGCAATATCACGGCGGGGAACACAAGAAACACAGAGTAGCTAGTTGGGAATCGAACCCGGGTTTTCGGCAGGACGAGCGAACACCTTAACCACTAGGATACCCAACCGCCCGTGCGTGACTTAAATATTATTGCAAAACATGTGTCATGTAAATGCACGAAATTTTTTAAATTTGTGATTTCAACCTACATGGCCACATACGAAACCCAATATATTATGTTTTAACGGAAATCCACTGCAATATCGTCAAAAGGGATGGCGTCTACTAATGCCAACAGTGTTAAACAGATGTATGCACGAGTTCTCAATTACTTCTTTATACCTGGAAATAAAGTGGTATCGTCTTGCTCGGTCGATATTTATCACGTATTAGACACCGGTCATTTATTATAGGTGGGTCAGAGGCAATCGGAAGGTCAAAAAAAAAATATGACGAGGGGAGTGTCATAAATATAATACACATATTTGCAGGGGGCCATGAAAAATTGATATCTTATACTAAAACAAAGAGCTTTTGCATTTTGTCTTTTAGGGGCGGGACATATAAAAAATGTACAAGGACATGGAGTGGTCATCCGAAAATATGACAAGCATTAGGGGAGCGTCATTATTTTCAGTACATCAGTTCTAGTGCAACACCATCCTCTGATCAACCCACCCCTGTAATCAATGGGGGTGGTCGGGTAGCCTAGTGGTTAAAGCGTTCGCTCGTCATGCCGAAGACCCGGGTTCGATTCCCAACATGGGTACAATGTGTGAATGCCATTTCAAACGTCTCACATCAAAAGTCTGCCTTATAAACCGAAATAAACGAAAAGAAACATACACCCAGGTCTGTTAACAGGCATATTGTAAAACAGTATCCATCGCGGGGTAAACGACATGTGGAGGCTGACATCCATGTCAAAGCGAAAAAGTATCTGATTACATCTTTGACGTCATACCAGGGACACCTAACCCAACCATGGTGAGTCTCTCTGTCACGTGACAATATGCTAGAGTAGTCTGTAACGGGTGGGTGTCAAGGGCCACTGTTGATGTCATGGATACATATCACATGTCAATGAAATGTCCTAAAAGGCCCAAGATACCACGATGATAAGGAACCATCTCATTGACAACACCACAGCTGTTTTTTTCGCATAGCATTGGATTTTCTGATTTTTTAAAGAAAATTATGATTTTTTTTTCTATTTCGCAAAGGCCTGATGATTTTTTAATATATTTTTCAAATTTTCTTCAAGATCAAAGTGAAGTCTACAATGACACTGAATAATTCTTGATTCTTTTTGGCGAAAATGAGGTTTTAAGTTGCCGATTAAATAAACCATTATTACACTAAAAACTCCATCCATAAACAAGTTCGTTTCAATGTACATTCATTCATATCCAAAAGATCTCTTTTCGAAAATATTATCAGACGTTTAAAATGGATTACATACTTGAGACCGCCTTTGTTTCTCATGGCCAGGGTGCTGTAGTTGGTGTGAGCGCCGGCGCCGTTCCAATCGCCCTCCATTGGTTTGGGGTCAAGGGTCACAACGACTCCGAACTCTTCCGCGACTCTGTGTAGAAGGTACCTGGCCACCCAGAGGTGATCTCCCATGGATATACCCACACAGGGCCCCACTTGGAACTCCCACTGGAAGGTGAAGCAGGAAGGTTGGACAGGATGATAAACAGGATAACCTCAAATGGGCCGCATGGCAATACTTGCTGACGGAGACACATGATAAGATAGGAATTCAGGGTAAAACCTTAAGATCGGACAACCTTAACGGTGCTCCTTTAGTCTCTGAATATCAGGTGGAGGCATTTGTTTCTCCGAAAATACAGGAATCATTAGTTGAATCATGAGGGCAAATGGGGTGGGTCGAGATGTGTTTCATATTTACTGACCTGTCCAGGCATAACTTCCGCGTTACAACCAGCAATCTTAACTCCCGCATACAGACACGCCCTGTAGTGAGCCTCGACCACGTCACGGCCGTACACCTTGTTGGCTCCGACACCGCAGTAGTAGGGACCTGGAGACAAGAGGTTACAATGTACACCAGAACTGTTCTGTATGTCATAATTGCCGGACAATTAGTCATTAATAGGCCCATGTCTGCGAACTGTAGTTAGTTTGTGAATGTTATTTTATTCAGCTAGTCAGCTATATTCAGCTATATTCCTGCTATGTCAAGACAACCCCTTCTCTGTTCTCCCTACGGGCAACAAGCAGAGGGTACTGGGGACCTGTTCTCCCATGTGGAAACAAGGACAGAGTACTGGTGGCCTGTTCTCACTAGTAGGGACATAAGCTTAGGGCACTGGGGACCTGTTCTGGCCCAAACTCCTCAACAGGCGCTCAATGTTGGTTGGTTGGTTGGTTTGTTGTTTCATGCCACACTCAGCAATATTCAAGCTATATGACAGCGGTCTGTAAATAATCGAGTCTGGACCAGACAATCGAGTGATTGACAACATGAGCATGGATCCAATTGGGATGGATGACATGCATCAACCAAGTCTGAAGCATGACCACCCGATCTCGTTAGTCGCCTCCTACGACAAGCATAGTCGCCTTTTACGGCAAGCATGGGTTGCTGAAGACCTATTCTACCCGGGATCTTCACGGGCCAGTGACCTACCTTGGGGGCCCGGGAACCCGTTCTTGGGCCAGCCAAATGGGTGGCCGTCATAGTCCAGCAGTGTGTACTCCTGCTCAATTCCGAACCAGGGGAAATCCTCCCGCGCCTTCTCCATCGCCTGGTCACAGGTCATGCGTCGGTTGGTTTCTGAAACAGGCCGGTGAAAATTGCATCTTAACACCAGAAAACAAACATGTTTTTGTACCACAACAGAAATGTTAAATTACGTATTTACGTCATCCATACACACTAAAGTATCGGTGATGGTGACGGTATATCTTAATGGCGAATTGGACCACAAAGTCCGTCCCGTTACCTGCTGGCTTTTTGTTGTATTTGTAGACTTCACACAGCACCAGTTTGTTCTTGCCTCGACGGAAGGGGTCTTTGAACAACGCCACCGGCGTCAGGTACATGTCAGAGTTGGACCCCTCAGCTTGGTACGTGCTGGATCCATCGAAGTTCCACTCGGGGCAATCTGAAGTAGATCATAAGTATTGCCATTACTTACCATAGCGTAATGGGTGGTGTGTGTGTGGGGGGGGTGGGGGGTGGGGGGTGGGGGGGGGGGGGGGGGGGTGGGGGTGGGGGGGGGGGGGGGGTGGAGGGGCAGACAACTACAACATTTATCAGGGTTATTGGACTAACGTTTCGTCTCTGATATGTAACTCTTTTAATCCTTGAATCGTCTGTTAACATATTTAAATGAAGAAATACAGACTTGCCAAAGTATGGTGGAGTTCCTGTTGTTTGAATGTCTGTGTGCCAGATTACAGCGCTATTTGGAGACATATAATCGTATTCCAGCACGTTTGGAGGGGCGAGTGGGTTAAATGAGTCTGATTTTACACTGCTTTCATCAATATCTCATCAATATCTAAGCAGTATCTGGACATTATCTCAGCAATATCCCCCCTATATGTCCACTGCATATAGTGTGTCTGGGCGTACAACTTGAAGAGGGGCTCCTCTAGGATTTGGTGCCCACATCCGGTCCACGTGTTGGCGGGATTAGTAACTTGTGTCAAACTGACAAACTGTTTGCAATTAGTTGAGTCTGGACCAGACAATCCAGTGACTGACATCCTGAGCAATTCATCGATCTACGCAATTGAGATATACATGGATCAACCAAGTCAGCAAGCCTGACCACCCGTCCGTTGATCGTTGATCGACCAATTCTAACACGGATGTTCACGGCTCGGGTTTTTGATGATTTGAATCTGATGGGACTGTCAGTTGGCCGGCGTCTACTCCCCCTCGACCCGCTTGTCTGTGTGAGACACTCATCATAAGAATAACCCCTTACCTTTGGGAGATTTAGGGTCGAAGTCGAGCGTCCTGCACTTGGACCGAATGCCCTCCCCTGTGCCGTCAATCCACAAGTATTCTGCCATGACCCGGTCATCCGGTTGGTCAAGATTCAGAAATTTGTCAAGGGTTTGCTTGTCCGTCACAGTGGACGTCATCTTGGATAGCTGGAACAATAGACAACCTTTGATATAGACTGTTTTGAGCTATGCTTGTCCATTTAACAGGTCACCACACTAAATTTAGCTGTGAACTTTGATATAGGATTGAGTAGATATGTTCACGCCTGGATCAGACGATTCAGTGATTGACAGCATGAGCATCGATCTACGTAATTGGGACACGATGACAAGCATCAACCAAGTCAGCCAGGCCGACCACCCGATCCCGTTAGTCGCCTCTTATGGCCAGCATGGATTGCTAAAGCCATATTCTAGCCCGGATCTTTAAGTAGTATTCGGGAATCAGGGGTGGGCAACGAGACCCAGAGTGAAAAATGGATGGTAATCGGGATTTATGAGAGGAGGGTGTTGGCACGGTCACACCTAGATATCATTCATAATGTCTGAGACCGCCTCCGTGGTCTAGTGGTAGAGTGTCCGCCCGCCCGCTTGTTCGATCCCCGGCCGCGTCATAGCAAAAAGACGTAATAAAATGGTACTTGTTGTTACCTTGCCTGGGGCTGAAACAAGGACTGCATTGTCGACTCGGAGTCAGCATAATGTGTCTGGGTGGGGTATTCATGTTAAACTGTCGCATGGTATCTCAGTGAGCTAGCACTATATATCGGCATCAGTCCGGACTAGTACAAGTAGCCACACAAACACATGCACGTCGCTATATAAGTGCAATAATCTTGGACGCGACGTTAAACCCCATTTCACCTCACCTCATAATGTCAGATCTGAACATTCATTTTGACATTTTTAATTTGATATATTATACACAGTAATCTTGACCATTCTTAATTTAGTTTATCACGGCCTAATGGAAGTCTGGTGTGTGGAATTGGTGCATCATCTTCGGCACATATATACTGTTGCAGCGCGACCTCGCATCTCGGTCACACAATGTTGACCCCGTGGCAACCTTTAACTCAATACACAAACCGCACCACGCGGCAGCCTCGCCGAACTAACACACATCTACTATCCTTATTCAGGGCACGCACAGACAACCGGTGGACAGATTTGCTACCGCGAGCCCCTAACTAGCGTATATAATACCTCATCGTGGTCTACAACGGAAATCCATCTGTCAGAACACGATCAGCTGGTGTGCTTCGCGACCTTCACCTTGTGGAATCAATACCCCTTTGTGCAGATAGTGTGGTATAATTCTGCATGGACAGCATACATTAGAAAGGGCCATTCACAATACAATACGTCTGCAATATATGCACGGGCTGCACGAGAGCTCCTCGTGTATGTACAATGGGTTATATAACATGGGTTTGATAACCTAGTTTGTCATCTCACGAAGCAGCAGTGGCCGATATAGATAGGGTTAATTTATTATCCTGGGGTCGTGCGCGATAACATCAGGTGTATATAAGTGGTGAATTCGAACAAAACACGATGAGGACTATGTTTGAGTCCACTACTTCTGCAAACAATGACAGCATTAATTTAATGTATTTCTTTTGGGTTCACATAATCTTAAGTTGAGTTTCACAGAAACAGATTCGTCTAGGAGTTAAGGCCGCTGACACAGTAATATTTTATGAGATGACACTCATCAGCCGGTCGAACAACAACACTCACCCCTTCGCTCATCCTGCACCAAACATTCCACAGATAAATGTTTTGTTTGCAAATATGAAAGTGTACGATTTTTCATAAAACAGAAATTCTTGATAACCCCTACTGTTTCTCCGCCATCTGGGTCAGGCGATGCGAAATAAGGGATCAGTTAAGTCGCGTTCAAGATTATTGCACCCACATTGCTGGCCCACTGAGATACCATGCCACAGTTTAACATGAATACCCCACTCAAACACAGTACACTGACTCCGAGCCGACCAGTCCTTGTTCTAGCCCCTTAATGCCGAGCGCCAGACAGGGTAACAACAAGTACCATCTTTTAACGTCTTTTGGTGTGACGCGGCAATGGATCGAAACCCGACCTTTTGCTCTCAGGGCGGACGCTCTACCATTAGACCACGGAGGCTCTCACTTACATAACATACCTGTCTGTATGTTAATGATGCCACGCGACCTAACAGAGGCGAACTAAGTTAATTATACTTGAAGCGTGGATTAAAATATCATAATTTATATGCAAGAGGGTTGTTATGATTGCGTGTTTTTACTAGTACAGCCCAGTATCAGTCATATTGCTAGCCCAGTGAAATACCATGCTACAGTTTAACATAAATACTCCTCTCGCGCACAGTACATTGAATCCGAGGGGATCAGTCTTTGTTTTATCTCCTATAAGGCCGAGCGCCAGGCAAGGTAACAACAAGTACCATAAAACGTCTTTTTGGTATGACGCGGCTGGGGTGTTCGAATCCCTTCAGCAAGCCAGTACTATTGCAAAGGAATCAATAGGAATTATTTCCGCCCGTCAACCCTGCTTCAAATTTTGCCTGGGTTAGGGCAACCTAACCCCACAGAAATTATTTTTTATACTTCTAGCAGGGGTTGAAATGTTTAACATTTTCGAGTCAAGAGTTACGGGCGGATATTTTACCGATCAATATAAACGTTGCGTCACATTATCACCTGAGGTATGATGCAATAGTTTAACAGACTAAAGGTAGGTTACACAGACAGTCGTCAACATAGAAAACTATCGCTGGCAAAAATCATTGTTACATTAAGTTACATTCTATATACAAAATGTTAAAAACTGACAAATACTTCCACAATTCTCATTGTTTCACCTCTCAGCAATTTGTTAACCGATCTGTCAAACACCGCAAATCTGTGAGCGAACAGCTCGCCTCTACGGTTTGGTCCGCATTGAATCTGCGATCAGCTGATCGCGTACGTTGCTTACAATCAACTGACAGCACTGAGTAACACAGAAGCTTGTTCTATGAAAAACACTGACCAGGCACTTGACTGTACTCGCTCAGGATATAAGTGTACTTACCTTTGTCTACGTGGTATTCCCCGTGATAGTTTGTCGGACGGAAGGCCGCAGTACTATGCCTCTTCGCCTGTGCCAAGCATTTTTATTTTCTTCACCTCGCTGTACACGGAATTTCATTGGTCTGCGTCACAGAGAGACGTTTGATTGGTTGGCTAAATTAAGCCGCATATCACGATCATGTGACACAGTCTCTGTGGCTATCCAAAGCACTGCGATTCTCGGTGACTTCGGTTGGTTTATAGGTCACCATGACACATATAAGCCTACACGAATTTGACAAGTGGTTTAACATGGTTTGTAACACCTATCTTCGCAGTAGCATTAAAATGTTAACCTGAGCTTGTTCCAAATTATCTGCTTTTGTAAGAACGTCGTAAAGAGTAAAACGACACTAGAGTTTTCCTACCCCTCACGACTTCATTTGGAAAATTGGGGGGGGGGGGGGGGGATTCGTTGTGCAGATTTGCGTCCTTTGGGCTCGCCAGAAACCTGTGATTGTGGGTTCGAATCCCGGTTCGCCCCGATTATATTTCTAGGTTTGTCAGCACCATACCCGTGCTCTTGGGTTTCACCAAAGTGGTAAACGTCAGAGGCCTGCATCACTTCGGGCTTTCCTCTCACATTAAGCTGACACGCCGCGATATAACTGGAATAGTGTTGAAAGCGGCGTTAAACCCAGCTCACTCACTCACTCATTTAGAAATAGGACGATCCGTTGAATATTCTTGTTAAATACCATGGGAAATTCCTCCACCCATTCATTACACTGTAAAAGTGTCCTACACTGACGCAAGGGGTAAAACTGAAATGTAATTGTTATAATATTATATCAGATTGAATATCTTATGCATGCTGTTTGTTTGTTTGCTGTTTAACGCAGAACTCAGAAATATTCCAGCTATATGACGACGGTCTGTAATTATGAATAATTAAGTCTGGACCAGATAATCCAATGATTGACATTCATGAGCATCGATCTACGCAATTGGGATACAATGACATGCACCATCATCGACCCTAACCACCCGATCCCGTTAGTCGCCGCTTACCCCCAGCATGGGTTGCTGAAGATCAATTCTAACCCGGATCTTCACGGATGTCTTTGGCATGTAAATGATATGATAAATAGCATCATCATTCATAAGAATGTTACTTTTCATGAATTTATTTTACAACAGTATACCTAGATGGGGATATGTATAAATAAACCTATTTACTTATATACTGGTATTAGTCAGTGGAACTATATTTCTGACATTGGTCGGCAGTAATATTTCAGCCAGAAGGGGCGCATAAATACACCAGCCGAAAGTCACTGAACAAGATGCACGTACTTATACAGTGTTAAACAAAATAATTTAAATTTAGTCTGCGTGTGAGTCTCCATGCCAGAGATTATCATTATCCACATTCGTGACCAACTCGTGTTATTCCAGGACAAGTCTTCTTGTTACGGAAAGGGGCGAGTGGTGACGAATGCATTATCCAGTGTCCGTTTCTTCACTTATACTCTGTACGTTATATACTTAGAGAACAAGGAACGAGCTTCGAGAAATTACGAATTATCTGTATGAATGAGTACTAGTAGTTGTATGGTTAAAGTCTTAAATAGTGGATGACTTCCGACCTTTGACTACGTTAGTATATCATGTTATTATGCTAAAGAATATATATGTAAGGTCAAAAACCCGACGATCAGCCCTTGTGTGCATGCGACGTCTCAAAATATAGTTCTGCCAATAGCATATGTCACTATTGTCCGGCTCGCTATTTATACATTTTGTGACTTTTCAAGGTGAGAACTATTAATGTCGAAACAGTCAACAAAAATTAAATTCAATTATCACTCTGTTTAAATGACATGGGTTTTTTTTCCATTGTATTAGACTTCCAATATTTCATTAACATATACAAGTATTTAGGGATCAGTTCAACGGTAGGAATTACTAGTAGTACTTATGTACTGGAGTGATTGATTGTGTGGGTGAGTGAATTAGATTTTACGACGATTTTAGCATTAATCCATCAAAAAACGCGGCGGAGGGTGAGTGAGTGAGTGAGTTTGATTTTTCGCCGCTTTTAGCATCATTCCAGTAATATCACGGCGGGGGACACAAGAAATGGGCTTCACACATTGTACCCATGTCGGGAATCGAACCCGGGTCTTCGGCGTGACGAGCTAACGCTTTGACCACTAGGCTACCCGACCGCCCCCGGAGGATGAGTGAATGAGCATGGTATTATTCCCGGCTTTTAGAAATATTTCTGCATTTTCAGGAGTCATTTTCACACATTTTCAGTGTGTATGTGTGTGTGACTGTGTGTATATGTGTAGGGAAGGGAAGGGAGCCAGCGTGTTGCATGGCGTGACACCGCTCTAAGATCCAGGCTACACCAGGCAACAGGATTATCAAATGAAGACATTGTAAAATGGGGCATGGCGTATTTATCTTCAGTGTGAAGTGTCAGTACAACTTGTCCCGTGTCACCGACATCTTTCTACCCGAGAGGCAACTGACTGATGTGTCCAGGAGGGTCAAGTGGGTACGTACAATGCTGACACGGGTGGACCTGTTTTCGCTTTCCTCAAAGCCCATTCGATGCCATATTTTTCGACCACTCATTTCAGTCTGGGGGCCACCAGGCCACCTATCAGTAATTTATTTAGACATGGTCCCTGATAGATAAACGGAGTAAACAAGTGAAGCGGACTTTGGTTCACCTATTGTCAGTAGGTGAGGTGAGGTGAAATGGGGTTAAGGTGAGGTCGCGTCCAAGATTATTGCACTTATATAGCGACGTGAATACACGCGTGTGTGTGTGTGTGTGTGGCTGCTTGTACTAGTCCGGACTGATGCCGATTTATAGTGCTAGCTCACTGAGATACCATGCCGCAGTTTAACATGAATACCCCACTCAGACACAGTAAACTGACTCCGAGCCGACCAGTTCTTGTTTTAGCCCCTTAATGCCGAGCGCCAGACAGGGTAACAACAAGTACCATCTTTTAACGTCTTTTGGTATGACGCGGCCGGGGATCGAACCCCGGACCTTCCGCTCTCCGGGCGGACGCTCTACCACAAGACGTCGGAGGCGGCCTGAAATGGGGTTAAACGTCTCGTTTAAAATTATAGCACTTATATAGTACTAGTCCGGATCAATGCCGATTTTATAGTGCTAGCCCACCCAGACACATTACCCCGACAATGCAGTCCTTGTTTCAGCCCCAGGCAAGGTAACAACAAGTACCATCTTTTAACGTCTTTTTGTATGACGCGGCCGGGAATCGAACCCCGGACCTTCCGCTCTCCGGGCGGATGCTCAACCACTAGACCACATAGCGTACATGGGTTAATATATGTCGCAATATATTGTACAGCATCATCTCCATAATAGTAACTAACTAAAAACATTATGCATTGTAAATAACAGCGTTGGAATTATTAATGTTTCTATACGTGTGTCAACTCTAGACCTGCATGCACGCTGTTCACCATGAGAGAGTCGGGTTACACTCTGGTATGGCCGCTATATAAGTTCTTTGTCAGCTTTATGTGGCAGGAAAGCTTCAAGTGGCACACAGACCCGTGAAGATTCCGGGGTAGAATAGGTCTTCAGCAACCCATGCTTGCCGTAAAAGGTGACTATGCTTGTCGTAAAAGGCGACTAACGGGAT